TAACAAGGAAACAGTGACTTTAAAGGACACACTGGATCAGATGGATTTCATTGACATTTATAGAACATTTCAGCCCAAAGCAGCAGAATATACATTCTTCTCAAGTGCACATGGGTCATTCTCAAAGATAGACCACATGTTAGGACACAAAACAAGTCTCTACAAGTTGAAGAAGATTGAAATCATATCAAGCATCTTCTCAGATCACAGTGGAATGAAATTAGAAATCAACTACAGTAAAAACACCCCAAAATATTCAAATACATGGAGGTTAAATAGCATGTTATGGGTTACCAATGATATCAAGAAAGAAATAAAAAACTTCATGGAGCCCTGGCCGGTTTGGCTTAGTGGAGGGAGCATCAGCCTGCGGACTCAGGGATCCCAGGTTCAATTCCGGTCAAGGGCATGTGCCTTGGTTTCGGGCACATGCCCAGTGGGGAGTGTGCAGGAGGGCGCTGATCGATGTTTCTCTCTCATCGATGTTTCTAACTCTCTATCCCTCTCCCTTCCTCTGTAAAAAAAAATCAATAAAATATATTTTTAAAAAACTTCCTGGAAACAAATGAAAATGAACACACAACAACCCCACAGCTCTGGGACACAGCCAAAGCAGTCCTGAGAGGAAAGTTCATAGCACTACAGGCATACCTCAAAAAAAGGAGAAAAACCAGTAATAAACTATTTAACCCTACAACTTAAAGAACTAAGAAGAGAACAACAAGAAAATCCCAGTGTAAGTAGAAGGAAGGAAATAGTAAAGATTAGAGCAGAAATAAATGACATAGAGACTAAAAAGACAATACACACAAAAAAAATCAATGAAACCTAGAGCTGGTTCTTTGAAAGGATAAACAAGATTGATGAACCATTAGCCAGACTCATCAAGAAGCTAAGAGAGAGGACCCAAATAAATAAAATCAGAAACGAAAGCAGAGATGTAACAACTGACACCACAGAAATACAAAGGATAGTAAGAAAATACTATGAATAACTATTGACAACAAGCTGGACAATGTGGATGAAATGGACAAATTCCTAGAAAAATACAATCTCCCAAAACTGAATCAGGAAGAATCAGAAAACCTGAATAGGCCAATAACAACTAATGAAATAGAAACAGTAAGGAAAAAACTTCCAGCAAACAAAAGCCCAGGTTTAGACGGCTTCCCAGGGAAGTTTTACCAAACATTCAAAGAAGAAGTAACACCTGTACTCCTCAAACGATTTCAAAAATCAAAGAAGAAGGAACACTTCCAAATTCTTTATGAGGCCAGCATTATCCTAATTCCAAAACCAGATAAAGACACTACAAAGAAAGAGAATTACAGGCCAATATCCCTGATGAACATAGATGAAAATATTAGCAAATAGGATCCAGCAATATATTAAAAGATCATACACCATGACCACGTGGGGTTTATTCCAGGGATGCTAGGATGGTACAATATTCACAAATCAATAAACATGATACATCACATACACAAATTGAAAGACAAGAATCAATAGACACAGAAAAAGCATTCGACAAAATCTAAATGTGGTGAGAATCCACCAAAAGATCGGAAAGAAAATCAAGAATGGCAACGGACTAAGGGTGGAATCACACTCGGGAGAATGCAGCGGACAAATGAAACCCATAAGAAACAGGGCCCAATCAGAGAGGAGAAAAGAGCAGGGGACAACCACACAGGGCAATGGTATAAAAAAAAAATGTTGGGGGTGGGCTCGGGAAAGGAGGCTAGGCCACATGTTTTCGGGGGAGGAATTTTCATTATAGAACATTTCAAGCATATGGGAAATTACAGAAAATAACATAAATATGTCAGAGTTTCTTCTAAATTTTACTGTTTTGACCTAAGGTAAAACACACACATCCTCTTCATTAGAATTGCCATGTTTGTTGCCAGGAGAATTAAGATTATTATCACCACACTCAATTACCTACCTTACCAGGAATACATATTTGATAATGCCCCATTTACAATTATGAAATAAAATTCATAGATAATAAACCTAACAAGTCTTAAACATTTTTTTAAAAAATAATCTGTCCTAACTGTAATATAAAAGAGAAATAAGTCTATAATATGTATTTCAATATGTAAATGAGGTACAACTACCACTAAAAGAAATACTGTAACCAGACATTTGCACCTTTATATAAAATCCCCATGATTGTGACACGACAGGCACTGTCTTAACATCTCAAATACCAAAAGCAAGTGTTGTGGGTGATGAGATGTTCTGAAATGGTTAATATCTCTCAGTTTCTGAACAAATCAATTTAGTTGCATTCTGGGAAAATTCAGGCTACATTCATGGTACTGCTCACAATACTCACAATTCTCCTTTTCCCAGGCACTCGTGGGACTTACCCTTCCAACTCCCGCGAAGTTGGAGGTGGCATGTGACTTGCTCTGGACAGTGGAATGCGTGGAAGTGAAGTCTGTCGCTTAAGTACCGGGGCAGGTAATGTTGATGTGAAGCTCTGCTCCCAGCGAGGGACCCTCCAAAGCCCAGGGCCTCCAGTGTAGGGCGATGAGAAACCAACTTTGGTTATGTTACGCCCCGGAGATTTGGGGCTGTTACTCAAGCACAGCCTGATACAATGTTAAAACGGTTCCCACCCCTGCCCCCCAAAAAAGAGTTTATATTTTTACGCAAAATGGAATTAGATCCAGCTCTGGTCATTATAAACAAGCGTTTCACTTATGTGACTGTCCAGGGGCACTGGAGTCCTGATGGGTCCTGGACAAGACTTGGTACCACCCTGTCCATCCCAATCCTCAGCCACGTGACAGCTCCAACACTCCCACCATTTCCCACTCACTCCCCACCCCAGTCCGTGGGTTTGTAAAGTCCGGAACCAGACTAACCAGAACCAGAAAGATCCTGAAAACCAGGGAAGGGGCTAGACCAGCGATTGCGACCTTTTGAGCTCGGCGTGTCAGCATTTTGAAAAACCCTAACTTATCTCTGGTGCCATGTCACATATAGAAATTTTTTGATATTTGCAACCATAGTAGAACAAAGACTTATATTTATTTTATATATTTAAATGCCATTTAACAAAGAAAAAACCAACCAAAAAAATGAGTTCATGTGTCACCTCTGACACGCGTGTCATAGGTTCGCCATCACTGGTATAGGGGAATAAATGCTGAGAAAAAATTTTTAAGTTACAATTTTAAAAGAAAAAATCAGTTTAAAAAGTCCAGATTTTTATGCAAAATCTCTTAATTTCTAAATATCTGCAACAATTTAAAATATTTGAGTTTAAGGCCCTGGTTAGAACCTGGCCCAGCACACCAGGGTTGTGGGATCGACCCCAGACAGGGCACATGCAAGAATTGACCAATGAGTGCATACGGAGGTAGAACAACAAATCTCTTTTTCTCTCTCTAAAAAATCAACCAATGGATCAATCAATATTTTAAAGTTTAAGCACTCTGGGAGTCAGACCAAACAGTTCTGGTTTGATGAGGCCACACACAGCACTTTGCAAAAAAAAAAAAAAAATGTCAAAAGCTAATGAAATTTGGGTTTCTATTTTGTCAACTTTTCTTCGTTTCCAAGTGACAAAATAGTCTAACTTCTTGCACGTGCAGAGCGCCCTCCCAAGCCTCCTGGTGGGTGACGGTCATCACAACGGCGAACGTCCGTCCGGCGCTCCTCCTGCAAAACCGTCTTTAATGAGGAGGTCGGTTCTGTTACTGCCCCACTTAGATAATTAACAGCAGAACCGAACCTCGAGATCTCCGCCCACCAGTGTGCTCTTCCCTGCCAACCTGCTGTACTTAATTTTTTCTTGAATTCTGTTCCCTGCCTCTCCTCTCCGTGTCCTTTTGAAGTATGGTAGCAATCATTTCAGGTAGAAACTACAGTTTAACCCTAACCCTGCTGTTTGGCTTAACAATAGAAAAGTTATTTTGATCTTCTGAATTTTATAAATCATCCCATTTGATTGAATGCCTTATTGATTGTAATGTGAATATCCCATTGATTGTGATCTTACTGGTTTTAGAAAGCGAATTCCTCTACCTGGGAACCAGGACAGCGCAATTATCCTAAACTGTTTTAGTGGCCACAGATAATGTGTTCCAGTTGACTCAGTGGTCCCAAGACCAGGACAGCACAATTACTCTAAATTACCTCGATGGCTCTAGATAATGAGTTCCTGCCAACTCAGTGACCCGGAGACCCAAAACTGTAATTAACATGCTTAATTCTGCTTCTGTAAACTGCTTTTTTGCGAACCAGGTTCCTCATTCCAAACCCTGGGACGTAATCAATACCTTTGTGATTTTTGCCTATATAATCTGGTGTTTCGGCCATCTTATCACTATGAGATTTGGGAAATGGCCCCTCATAGTCCCGGATTTGCAATAAATATGACTCTTTAATTCAACTTCTTGAGGCGTCCTTGTGTGATTCGCGGGGTACATTACAACACTTTCCCGCCCTTTCTAGGGCTTGTCCTGAGGCTCCTGCAGAAGCATGACAAAGTAGAAAAAGGAAAATAGGAGCTGAAAGTAAAAAAGGGGAACCAGCGTCACAAAGAAAACCTAGTCCGGGGGCTGCGTTCCCGGCCCAGCGGGCCCCTGCGGGGAGGAAGCCCGCGCACCCGGCCCCACGCAGCCCCCGCGGCGGGCAGGTGGGCGTCCGCTCGGTGATTAGGGGGCCCCCAACCTGCCACGAGGGGAGCAGGGAAGGAGCAAGACGCGGAGGCAAAGCGGGGCGGCCAGGGCGCCAACCCTCACGCACGCCCCCGGGAGAGAGCAGCTGCGCGGCCACGTGACGCGCCCTCGTGACGGGGCCACGTGACGCGGTCAAGATCACCCCACAGCAGGTGCGACAGCGGCCCGGCGGAGAGGGAGCCGGGACCCGGAGCCCGGAGAAGAGTTCGAGGTGGTGGACAAGAGCCAGCTGCCAGGCCCGGGAGACCTGCCGAGCGCGGCGAGGCGGCGGGCGTCAGCAGAGGGCTGGTCGGCACCCATCCTGTACCTGGCGCGCCGGGCCACGGGCAACCTGTCGGCCAGCTTCGGGGGCGCGCTGCGCGCGGCCGAGAGACAGGACGGCACGGAGGGCACGGCGCGCGCAGGTACGTCAGTGTTAGCGCTGCCGGTTCCGACGGGTGGGCCGTGGGTGGAGAGGGCCGTCCAGACCTGGCTGGGGGAGGTCCTCCGTCTGCCGTGTCCTGTTTTCTCTGCGCCGTGACCGCGCCCGGATGGGCACGTGGGCTTGGGGGGCGGGTGTGAACGCCCCCGTGCGCCCCGCCCCCTGCGCTCCGCCCCCGTGTGCTCGCTCCGCCCCCGTGTGCTCCCTCCGCCCCCGAGCGTCCCCTCCCCCGTGCGCTCTCCCCCACCCCCGGTGCACCCCTTCCCCCCTGTGCGCTCCCCCGCGCCCCGGTGCACCCCTTCCCCCCGTGCGCTTCCCCCTCCCGCCCCGTGCGCCCCGCCCCCGTGCGCTCCTTGGACAGCACCCTCTTTCTCCTGAACGAGCTTTGGGAAGTGGTTGAGCTGAAGTCTCTGCATGAACTTTAAAATACTTCACCAGATAGAGGCGATTCTCTGCTCAC